TCCCTCAGATTACACAATCCGTTGTCTCGGATTGTAATTCATTTCTCAGTTTAAAAAATTTCCCCTCGGAATGTAAATTTACATTAACTTTTTTAGTACATATCGGTTATTGCAGTAGGGGTTTAATGAAAAGAATATGGATTAGTTTATATCCTACTTTTTATTACATAGACAGTGTAAATTCAGTCAAAAATGAGAAAATTACATGAACATTTTTCAAATCCATATGCTATTACTGATATTTGTACAAAAAAGTCTTAGATTTCTGTGTTACATGTATATTTGAATCATTGAAATTAAGCCCTAGTAAAAGTAAACATGGGCCCTGTGTAATTATTTTTCCTAAAATATATATACTTGACTTAAAAATACTTAAAAATCGGAACGACCGGTTGCTGAATCAAAATACATAAAACGCATTAATTGATACAAAGGATTGGATTTTCCAAGCCTTTATACATGTACTCGGATATATGTATATATGTATATGTAATGAAATTTGAGAAAATGGTTTATCAAAATTATTAGAATGATATGTTGATTTGTGGGATCGGATTGTGTAATTCGAGATCTCAAATTACAAATAGAAATCTTAAATTATTGATCTGTGAAAACGAATTATGTAATTCGAGATCCCGAATTAAAAATCGAGGGAACGAATTAGTAAATTGTGGCGAAGAAATATATGTAATTCGCGATATCTCGAATGATAAATCGAGGGTACGAATTGATAATCCGTGGGAACGGATTGTGTAATTCGAGATCTCGAATTAATTTGTACTTTTTTGAAAAATTGACGTGTCCCTTCATGACTTTCGTATTCTATGTAGGAGTACCATATTCTGCATACTTTAGTATTTTATAAAAACTCTTAATTTTTTATCTGACTTTAATACCTGAAATATAATCCATACCCAATTACAGTTGAACTTCGGTATCTCGAACTCCGATATCTCGAATACCATGGATATGTCGAAGTGATGTTAAAGTCCCAACCACATATTCTTTAAGTATTTGACCCTCGATATCTCGAATCCTCGGAATCTCGAAGTTTTTTCTCAGTCCCATCAGGTTCGAGATAACGAAGTTTGTATACATATTGAATATCTTCTTGTATATACTTTTTCATACTGTATGTAGTTCCATATTCCAAGGCTCATTCCTTTAATCTCTTTATGTATGGATTTTACCAAAAGAAATAATTATTTGCATTAAATTGTCAATCATCTGTTATCCAAAAGGATCTTAAAACTATAAAAAGACATTGATTGTAATAAGCAATCATCTAAGAACGGGAAAATATGTTGGAAAAATATATATTCGTTATAGTCACAAAGTTTAATCTATGTATGAAGGGTTTGATGGAATGAGTTATAAAATATTTGAATCGCATAAAGCATGATGAGGTATATACATGTATATTAGGGTATATTCAATGTTTTATAGTTAGATTTAATGTATTTCAGAAGTTGTCGAAGTGAAACACATTTTTTTCCTCAATATTTTCAATATTGCGAATTGAAGTTTTGAAAAAGATATTGTCTATTTAGTAAAATTATTTTGGGAGTTAAGCCAGATATCGCTTGACACAGAAATTAACACTGCTGAAGGCAAAACCTCTTTCTGTATGTTCATTCAGTAGAATTCTAAGGTCTAGTTTATCTAGTGGACATCACATAATTTATATTCATTACGACAAAAAAATTAATAAAAATGAAATAGACCTCTGTTGAATTGTACTCTTGTATTCTTCATGTCGCAATGTGAAAAGTTTCTTTATTCGATACTAGCATCTTACTCATAGCTAGCGCGGCAACAATTTTCTTCGGTATTTGAGGCTCTCCACAGAAGTCAAACAGAGTAATAAAGTATTCGGCAAAAGTCAGGCAGATGATGGCCATGGAGGACGGGGTGAGTACAATGATCTTGGTCCAAGCGAACAGGTAAGCCACAACTCTCCCCATGGCTTCCATCATGTACGGGTATTCCCCGCCTGACTTTGTAATCAAAGTTCCAAGCTCAGCATAAGAGAGCGAACCTAAATTTTAATAAACAGTTTTCTTAATATTAGAGCAACATTTAATGACACAAATTTTTCAAGAGTATAATGAAAAAAATATCCTGCTAACTTTTTTTTATTTCATTTTAAACAAAATTAGTTGAATCATCTACACATGTGATAATGATGTATTCTTCTGTTTTTCCCGAAATATTAAAAAAGAACATTCCAAATACAGCAAACTAATCTTTTATGTGTAGTTCGATAACAAGTTGTGAAAAATAAATGTCTGCAGTCTAATATATGACAGAAATTATTTCTTCATTTTAAAAAATTGCTTATCATTAATTACACGTGCAATTAACAGTCTACTAATTGGTATTTCCTTTCAGTGCTTGCAAAAAAATATTCACTTCTACATATTCAGCGTATTTGAGATACTAAAGTTTAAGCAGGACCATCTTGAAAACCAGCATACATGTATGTCATCATGAATAAATAAAGTTTTAATCATTATTGAATTATCATTTATATTATAGTATTGGTGAACATTGTACGCTTTGCAAAAGCACGAGGTTATGTTGCAAGAGCATTTTATACAGCTAAGGGTGCCCAAATTTACAAATATATTTTATGTTATTTCTTTATTATATATCTAAATTATGTTTCACTTGATTTTTACTTATTTTTGAGTTAAAATACAAAACTAACGAACATTATCCAATTCCGAAATATAAGTGTGCATTTTCATTTCAAATTCTGTACGAATGTATTTGCTGTATAAGTTTATCATTCAGCTTTATTTTGGAAATACACATATCTTTCGGATTGTTAGGGTTATTATAAATATACATTAAAACAAAGAAGCCTCTGTTTCGTTGTATAGCTAAAGTATAGATTCCATTTTGTTCAGATCATGGTGCGAGAACTTTGATGAGACTACGATTATTCTCAAAAACAGATGAGTTACATTTAAAAGAACATTCAAGCACTTTAACGTAGATAAATGAAAACTAGTGCTAATTGTAACGGGGACCGTTACAGATGTTCCCCAAACGCTCCCCAACTCCCTTTTGGTGCCATATTCCCTGTAAGCTTCATTAAATAAGACAAACTCGATGCATTTAAGACTTTAATAACGTTTACCCAGAAGTGTACCAAGTTCATTCAAATTTTGCGTGCGCATGTGAATGCATGTGCGTAATGACCATATCATCTTGTCTACACAATCTATATATTTTAATATACTTAATATTAAAGTATTTAATCCAAAAGTATTAAAAAGATAAGCTCATTCAAGTGTTTTATTTATTTTGCTCTTTTCACGTGCACGCACGTGCATACATGAGCATGGTGACCATACCTTCTTGTAGATGTCCGTTACATCTATCTATGTTCTAAATCCCACCCCGTTTGGTTGAAAACCAAGGGAGTTATAGCTGTTTAAAGTTTCAGCCAATCAGATTGCAGCGCACATACATGCACGTGTATGCATGTGCATGGTGACCATATTTTCTTGTAGTAGTCCAGTATATCTATCTATGTTCCAAATCCCATCCTGTTTGGTTGAAAATCAAGGGAGTTATAGCTATTTAAAGTTTAAGCCAATCAGATTGCAGCGCACGTGCATGCACGTGTTTTCATGGTAATTGCTATATATCATGTTGTAGAATATCCTAATGCATGGCTATTTTCAAAATTTCAAAGGATTTCGTCAAAAAACAAGAAAGATATTGAGACTTTAGTTTCAGCCAATCAGAGCAAAGCGCACGTGCATGCGCGTGAGATCTTGCTAGTTTGACCATGTCATATTGTCTATGCTACTATTATATCCTTATATTATAAGTTTCAAAGCATTTCATCAAAAATTTAAAAAGTTACGCCTATATCAATTAAATCGGTCATTACACATGTTGCACGTGCACGCTCTTGCAAGCACGTGCGCGCAAAATGACCTTCGTTCCGCAAATCTACATAACATGTCTACTGACCCTAAAAACATTTCACCTTAGTCGGATGTATAGTTTACGAGATCATTCCCGGACAAAAAAGTACCCAGGAAGAAGAAGAAAAATAATAATAATAACTAGATACGATCTCGTTGCGAGCAACGAGTGGGTCTTCCGTCCGATTCTTGATAAGATGAGATAAAATTTTGATTGAGATTTTCATTCTAAAATAATGATTTTCCATAATCTGAAAAAAGACATTGAACATTAAAGACTTTTAAAAAATCGACTTTTGGCCCCTCACGGCCCCAAACATTAGAAATCAGCCCATTTTTCTTCATATCATCTGAAAGCTCTCATGATTTTGATGACTTTTTATTCAACAACTATTCAAAGATTCTTTTTCGTTTTTGAGTTATTTGCATAAGAAATATTTAGTGGCCAGCCCTTCAACTCCTTAATGGGGACGTTTGGCGAACGATAAAAGGTTGCATATTGTTTAGAACATGATTTTGAACATCTTTTGTTCAAAATTACTTGTCAAAATATTTCTCACTTTCGAGATATAAAGCATCAAAGATTTAGCATTCTACCCCCCCCCCCCTTTTGGCCCCTTATCATGTAATATACGATATTAAAATCATAATATACAGTTGTAGATTGTTGAGATAAACATTTTTGCTTCAGTAATGTATAACAAAATATTGACTGTTAAAGAGTTATCGAAAAAAAGACTTTTAGTCCCCTTTGACCCCTAATTTGAATGCACAGCCCCTTCCTCTTGATTTCATCTTGAAGCGCTTAGGATTTTGAACACTTTTTGTTCAATAACTATTCAGAGATTTTTTTTCGTTTTCGAGTTATGTGCAAAAGAAATATTTAGGGGCCAACCCTTCAACTCGCTAATGGGGACGTTTAACGAAAAATGAAAGGTTGCATATTGTTCAGAACATGATTTTGAACATCTTTTGTTCAACATTACTTGTCAAAATATTTCTCACTTTCGAGATATAAAGCATCAAAGATTTAGCATTCTGGCCCCTTTTGGCCCCTAATCATGTAATATACGATATTAAAATCATAATATACAGTTGTAGATTGTTGAGATAAACATTTTTGCTTCAGTAATGTATAACAAAATATTGACTGTTAAAGAGTTATCGAAAAAAGACTTTTAGCCCCTTTTGGCCCCTAATTTGAGTGCCCAGCCCCTTTTTCTGGATTTCATCTTGAAGCTCTTAGGATTTTGAACACTTTTTGTTCAACAACTATTCAGAGATTCTTTTTCGTTTTCGAGTTATTTGCAAAAGAAACATTTAGGGGCCAACCCTTCAACTCCCTAATGGGAACGTTTAGCGAAAAATGAAAGGTTGCATTTTGTTCAGAACATGATTTTGAACATCTTTTGTTCAACATTACTTGTCAAAATATTTCTCACTTTCGAGATATAAAGCATCAAAGATTTAGCATTCTGGCCCCTTTTGGCCCCTAATCATGTAATATACGATATTAAAATCATAATATACAGTTGTAGATTGTTGAGATAAACATTTTTGCTTCAGTAATGTATAACAAAATATTGACTGTTAAAGAGTTATCGAAAAAAGACTTTTAGCCCCTTTTGGCCCCTAATTTGAGTGCCCAGCCCCTTTTTCTTGATTTCATCTTGAAGCTCTTAGGATTTTGAACACTTTTTGTTCAACAACTATTCAGAGATTTATTTTCGTTTTCGAGTTATTTGCAAAAGAAATATTTAGGGGCCAACCCTTCAACTCCCTAATGGGGACGTTAAGCGAAAAATGAAAGGTTGCATTTTGTTCAGAACATGATTTTGAACATCTTTTGTTCAATATTACTTGTCAAAATATTTCTCACTTTCGAGATATAAAGCATCAAAGATTTAGCATTCTGGCCCCTTTTGGCCCCTAATCATGTAATATACGATATTAAAATCATAATATACAGTTGTAGATTGTTGAGATAAACATTTTTGCTTCAGTAATGTATAACAAAATATTGACTGTTAAAGAGTTATCGAAAAAAGACTTTTAGCCCCTTTTGGCCCCTAAGTTAAGTGCCCAGCCCCTTTTTCTTGATTTCATCTTGAAGCTCTTAGGATTTTGAACACTTTTTGTTCAACAACTATTCAGAGATTTATTTTCGTTTTCGAGTTATTTGCAAAAGAAATATTTAGGGGCCAACCCTTCAACTCCCTAATGGGGACGTTTAGCGAAAAATGAAAGGTTGCATACTGTTCAGAACATGATTTTGAACATCTTTTGTTCAACATTACTTGTCAAAATATTTCTCACTTTCGAGATATAAAGCATCAAAGATTTAGCATTCTGGCCCCTTTTGGCCCCTAATCATGTGATATACGATATTAAAATTATAATATACAGTTGTAGATTGTTGAGATAAACATTTTTGCTTCAATAATGTATAACAAAATATTGACTGTTAAAGAGTTATCGAAAAAAGACTTTTAGCCCCTTTTGGCCTCTAATGTGATGAGTCAGCACTTTTTTTTTGATATCGTATTAAAGATCTTTACATTCTGCACAAATTTTGTTCACTATGTCTTAACAAAATAATTATACTTTAAAAGATATAATAAAAAATGTCTCGAAAATTCACTCATGATTCGTGTCCTAGATTTTGACCCCTACCGAGCTTCCATATTAGACCTTTCTGAAAAATTTTAAATCCAATGTGCAAATCACAAATGTGTCGTCTATCATCGCTGAAAATATCAGCTCTCTAGCTAATGTCGTTTTTGAGATTACTCATGGACAAGGAGACCCTCTAAAAATCACTGAAAGGGCGATAACTTCCAACCGGAAGTGATTTTTTCAAAATTGAGCCGGGGGTACAAACTTCAGATAGAAACACATAATCCTTGAAAATTTGAACAAAATCGATCGAGCCGTCTTCGAGAAATCTTCTGCACAAAAATTGTAAAGAAAAAAAAAAGAATAATAAAAGTGAAGAAGAAACAATAGAATAATAGAAGGGTCTTCCGTTGGAGACGGAAGACCCTAATAATAATAATAATAATAAGAAACAGAGTAAAAACAATATGTTCCCCAACTTCGTTTGGGGAACATAATAAGAAACAGAGTAAAAACAATATGTTCCCAAACTTCGTTTGGGGAACATAATAAGACAGAAAATTTCAAATTCTCATTTCTCTACCAGGATTTTTACATCGGGCTCGGACTTGGTTTTATTCAGAAAGACAGGACTGGGTTCAGGCAACTACATGTAAGGGTACCACACCGGTAATTGACCAATCAAAATGAACTTAGTCAATTGTAGTGCCATACATATAAGGCCGATTTTCCTTTCTTTTGAGAGTTTTTTTTTTTTTTTTTAATTTCCTTCCAGGCCATTTTGACAACTCTGGTACATGTGCCTAAGAAATTTTATCTACTCTGTAAATAAATAAAGTGTTTAGACAGGAACTATTTTCTCAGGGTATAGGATGCTACTTCCTGGGGTGCTTTTGAGATGTTTATAAAGACATTGAAAACACGTGGATTTGAGGGTAGCCTTATTTGCAGATGCAAAAAAATCAGAAAATGTCGTGTACGTACCCTGGTTTTTTGGTGCCAGCTAATGTGACAGGTATTGTTTAACACCCCTTCATTAATATTTTTTTCATGAATTCAAATACCTGATGTTTTAGGGGAAAGAAACGTGTATTGCTTTTTAATATACCAAAACTCGCTATTTCGGGGGATTGCGTAATTCTAAAAAAAATTCAGATAAATTTCAAAGGTAAAATAAAAGAAGAATGCTTGGTATTAAAATATAAATTCATATCAGTAGAATTGAATGCTATTAATGTCATCTGGAGAAATAGGCTTTATAAGGTTTATATCATATCTTTGTTCGTCTGCACTTAAATTTCAAACACGACAGAATTTGTAATTTATGCCGTAAAAATTCATAAATTCTATATACTTTAGAGACTTACCGTAAAACTTTCAGGAAACTTTCTATGAAGTATTTTCTGCACCTTAAGTGAAATTTTATGTCGATTCGAGGTGTCGATTGATTTTCAGAGAAATTTTCTATCTTGCTATTGATTTTTTTTTTTAAAGGAGAAGGGGGGGGGGGGTTGACTTATTTATTCTTAGCATTTGTTAAAGTCAGATTTGTAAATACATCTACGAACTTGAGCTGGATTGTGACCTTTGGGTCAGGGTCAAAGGTCAAGGTCAAAGGTCAAGGTCATCAAAACATTTCATAAAGAAATATAAAACTAACGGCCATATCAAGTATACTAGTCACTTGAGCATTGCACGCGCGAGCAGGTGCAATGCATGAAAGCCATATCATCGTGACTACACTTTTAATATGTTTCTATTCTTTGAATTTCAAAACGTTTCATAAAAAATTTACGACTATATCAAGTAAATCGGTCATTTAACGCATTGCGCGCGCACACGTGCATGCATCTCCTTGCATTCAAGTTTGATAGTAGCATAATGTAGGAATCCGTCATATCTATTCATATTCTAAATTTCATCCTGTTTTGTTGAGAATCAAAAAAGTTATAGGCATTTAAAGTTTAAGCCAATCAGATCGCAGCACACATGCATGAGCGTGGTTTCTTGAAAATTTTTATATATCATATTTTAGGACGTCTTAAGACATGCTTATGTTTTAAAATTGAAAGTATTTTGTCAAAAAACAAGTAAGATATTGAGATTTTTGTTTCAGCTAATCAGAGCAAAGCGCACGTGCACGCGCGTGCATGCATGTGCATAATGACTATAACTTCTTGTAGGAGTCTATTATGTCTGTCTGTGTTCTAAATCTCATCCTGGTTGGCTGAAAAACAAGGGAGTTATAGCTTTTTAAAGTTTCAGCCAATCAGATTGCATCGCACGTGCATACACGTGTTTTCATGATAATTGCTATATACCATGTTGTAGGATATCGTAATGCATGGCTATGTTCAAAATTTCAAAGGATTTCGTCAAAAAACAAGAAAGATATTGAGACTTTAGTTTTAGCCAATCAGAGCAAAGCGCACGTGCATGCGCGTGAGATCTTGCTATTTTGACCATGTCATCTTGTCTATGCTACTTATATATCCTTACTTTATGAGTTTCAAAGCATTTCATCAAGAAATAGAAAAGTTAAGGCAATATACATTATATTGGCCATTTAACGTGTTGCACGTGCTCGCTCTTGCAAGCACGTGCGCGCAAAATGACCTTGATTCCGCAAATCTACATAACATGCCTACTAACCCTAAAAAGGTTTTACCTACTTCGGGTGAACAGTTTACAAGATCACTCGCGGACAAAAAAGTACCCAGGAAGAAGAAGAAAAATAATAATAATAAGAAACAGAGTAAAAACAATATGTTCCCCAACTTCGTTTGGGGAACATAATAAGGACACTTAATTAACAATATCGGACAGTTTTTGTTCGTGAACAATTAAACAAGAGAAAACTTTGATTGTTAAAGTAAAAAACATGCTCACTCCTCCATGGCACCTAATCCCACCTCTAATGTTTTGGATGTTCGTGTTTGCTATGCTCCTATTTTGCAATGTTTAAAGCTGACATTAACTCTTAAAAGGCATCATTTTTCATCTTCGCACGACTTACTACATTCCTGTACGCCTTTGTTTGCCATATTTCTTCGATTCCGCCATATTAATTTGAATGTTTTTGCTACCTGTACCTGCTATATAAAGATTGGTGCATTTGTTTCACTTGAGTGATTTTCTAGCCTGGCTGTCGACATGTACAAATCTCCGATAGCATAGTTTTTAGAAATCCATAAACTGACCAAATATATAAAACAGGTGGTACATAGATGAAAATGTTGCGTTTTTAAGAATTCTTGTCAGCTTTAATGGACTTATGAGCTCGAATACTGTTTGTAACTGTTTGTTATCTACACATATTTCATTCAAAACTAATACTTCTTGTATAATTGTGCTATAAACTTTGTGTTATCAATATAAAATTGGAATGAATCTTTATTAAAGAAACGATTCGCTGACTGAATTCTCTACCCATCATGTGCAACTCACTGTAAATTCAGTCTTACGAAACCTAGCTAGAATTCAATTAAAGTAACATTACCCATCAGCGATAAAAGTCCTCCTGCTGTCCATACTATTAGACTAAGACCTACAGATCCTGTCTCCTGAAGCACTCCTTTAGGAGAAATGAAAATTCCTGATCCTAAAACGATTCAATTGTTGAGAAATGTGAATGAGGATAACATGCAATCGACCATTTTTAGAATATATATAGAAAAAAGTATCTAGTTTTTGATTAACATCTTTTCAGTGTTACTTTTTCAATATATTAATATATAACTTTTAAATAATTAACTTAGATGCATATTAATGAAAAAGTTCTTGATCATTCTCTCGTCCACTCTTTTTAGCTCACCTGAGCCGAAGGCTCAAGTGAGCTTTTCTGATCACATTTTGTCCGTCGTCCGTCCGTCTGTCCGTCTGTCTGTCCGTCTGTAAACTTTTCACATTTTCGACTTCTTCTCAAGAACCACTGGGCCAATTTTGACCAAACTTGGTACAAAGCATCCTTGGGTAAAGGGAAATTTAAATTGTTAAAATGAAGGGCCAAGTCCCCTCACAAAGGGAGATAATCAAGAAAAGACAAAAATAGGGTGGGGTCATTAAAAAATCTTCTTCTCAAGAACCACTGAGCCAGTAAAGCTGAAACTTAGGTGGAGGCATCCTGGGGTAGTGTAGATTCTAAATTGTTCAAATCATGACCCCCGGGGGAAGGGCGGGGCCACAATGGGGAATCAAAGTTTTATATAGAAATATATAGGAAAAATCTTTGAAAATCTTCTTCTCAAGAACCACTGGGCCAGAAAAGCTGAAACTTATGTGGAAGCATCCTGGTATAGTGTAGATTCTAAATTGTTCAAATCATGACCCCGGGGGAAGGGCGGGGCCACAATGGGGAATCAAAGTTTTCCATAGAAATATATAGGAAAAATCTTTGAAAATCTTCTTCTCAAGAACCACTGGGCCAGAAAAGCTGAAACTTATGTGGAAGCATCCTGGTATAATGTAGATTCTAAATTGTTCAAATAATGACCCCCGGGGGATGGGTGGGGCCACAATGGGGAATCAAAGTTTTATATAGAAATATATAGGAGAGATCTTTGAAAATCTTCTTCTCAAGAACCACTGGGCCAGAAAAGCTGAAACTTATGTGGAAGCATCCTGGTATAGTGTAGATTCTAAATTGTTCAAATCATGACCCCCAGGGGAAGGGCGGGGCCACAATGGGGTATCAAAATTTTACATAGAAATATATAGGAAAAATCTTTGAAAATCATCTTCTCAAGAACCACTGGGCCAGAAAAGCTGAAACTTATGTGGAAGCATCCTGGTATAATGTAGATTCTAAATTGTTCAAATCATGACACCCGGGGGAAGGGCGGGGCCACAATGGGGAATCAAAGTTTTATATAGAAATATATAGGAAAAATCTTTGAAAACCTTCTTCTCAAGAACCACTGGGCCAGAAAAAGTGAAGCTTATGTGGAAGCATTCTGAGGTAGTGTAAATTCTAAATTGTAGGAATCATGACCCCCGGGGGAAGGGCGGGGCCATTATAGGGAATCAAAGTTTTACATAGAAATATATAGGAAAAATCTTTGAAAATCTTCTTCTCAGGAACCACTGGGCCAAAAAAGCTGAAACATATGTGCCCATGGAAGGATCATGGGGTAGTGTAGATTTCAAAATGTCTAAATTATTATCAGTGGGGTAGGGTGGGGATGCATTATGTATAACAAGGGTGAAATCTGGTAAAGAACAGAATGGTCAAAGCTTCTCAGGTGAGCGATGTGGCCCATGGGCCTCTTGTTCTATTTCTCACCCACTTTCCCTCACCTATGATAGTTCCTACGATGATTGAGGTACCACTGATAAGGCCCAGACTCCTTTTAAGCTTGATCGCCTGAACATCTACTTTTACATTCGGACCCTCTTCACTGTTTGTATGTCTTTGTTTAAGTTCCATTCCATCTTTATCTGCAAACAAAAGTTTACCATTTCATTTTAATAAATAATAGAGGTTGGTTGTATTTTATAATAAAAATAATTTGTGATCATCCAATATAATTTTTCAGGGAAGAAATACAAATGGGTCAGAAAAGGTTCGTGGACTATCATTATAAAAACTAAAACCGCAGAGTGTCTTAATGTTCAAACGTTCAAAAAATATTTCATCCTGGAAAACTGGCATAAATTTAAGACCTGGAAATTTTTTGAAGAGGGTTAAGGAAAAATAAATACTGTAAACCAACTTTTATTCGCGACGACTTTATTTCGCGATTTACCAGCGGTAAACTAGTTCGCGACGATTAGTTTTCGCGATAAGGCCTATTTAGGTTCGCTTGTTAACTAATAGACACATAGACTATAATGACCGGTAATGACCGCGAGAAATATTCGCGATAACGAGGTTCTCGCGAAGTTCGCGAAAATTTCTCGCACGCGAATAAAAATTGGTTTACAGTACATCCAGAGTATATCCGGGCATCCTATGTATATCTCCATTTACAATATAATGCATTAAAATAAGATGTTAATTTTACAGTAAAGTCATATGAACAGTACAGGGTTCGTTTTTTTTTTAACTCCAGGAAATTCATCAAGTTGATAGGGCATGAAGGTCGAGAAATAATGAAGTTTAAGGTCATCATAGTGCATATGGTGACAACACCGGGTGAGCAAATATTGTCTTTTTATGATAAATATACAAATTATATACATATCAAGCCAACATTTTTATCACGTAAACGTCTGTTGGTTTATGTTCCTAATAAATATAGTAAGCATCGATTACACAGTACTGATTTACTGCATCAGTTCAAGATCTTTTTGTTAACAGTGTTATATGCATCAAGTCCGATCTCTTTGGAGCATATTACACAGAATGCGCAATTACACATGCGGAGTTTACATATATCTCAGTTGATTCGATACGCAAGAGCATGCTCTATGTATGAACAATTACTAAAACGAGGTAAATTATTGACAAACACGTTGATGAAACAAGAATATCAGCAGTCTCGTTTAAAGTCTTCATTTCGAAAGTTTTAAGGTCGATACAATGACCGTGTCAGCAAAAACATTTTATCATTGAGTCAAATGCTGACTGACGTTTTTCATACTAATTGTTAGTCCATTATTTAAACATTGAATTGACGACGGATTTTCCTGTTATTTCTCGATCATGACAAGGAGCACACGGCGGGTGGGACCGGTCAGCAGGGGATGCTAACTCCTCCATAGCACCTGATCCCACATCTGATGTTTCGGAGGTCCGTTTTTGCTCTGCTCCTATTGTGTATTGTTTTATGGATTTTAAATCTTGAATACTGTTTGTTATCTTCATATGTTTCATCCAGAAGTCATCAATAACTTCGAACTCAAACGTATTGTTTAACAATTTTTAACATTCTTTCTTCATTCAGTATCAACAAGTATTGCAAGTGGTTACATTTAAAAGGAATATAAAAATTTACAGAATTGTAATATTTTACAACAGGCAAATGTGACATGATAACAAGCAAATTGTTTTCAGTACGAAACTCAAGTTCCCCACTTCTTTAGTTTGACACACACTATTGGAATTCATGCTGAAGGGCTGATTTGAAAAGCAAAAGCTCGATAATACGAGGGTTGATCAAAAAGTTCGCGTACTATCTCTATATTTACAAAACTGCAATTAAGATCAGAATGAAATTTGGCACCCATAGAGGCATACACATGTTTTTTAAATAAAATATGTAATGGAACGTTTTGTCCCGTGTTTGTGACGTCTTAATGTGAAATGACGTCATAAGGTAGATCACTTGTGACAAAAAATGGTTGACTCAGTCGTATTCGAGAAACGAACGGCTGTAAAGTTAACTGTATATCTTAGAAATTCATTAGTAGAAGTTTATAATAATTTGTACACGGTTTATGAAGACACAAGACTTTCCATAAGTTTTGTCATTAATTGGATTGATTGTTTAAGTGAAGGAAGGGAGATGTTTAAAAAATGATGTTTGTTCTGTTGCCCGGTGAAAGCAAACTGGGAAAGAGACGTGTCCTTTGTTAAGCAATTTGATTTGAAAGATCGCAAACTTACTGTTAGAAAAATAGATGAATATCTTTACAATAATGTAATTCCATGTATCAAATCCCTAAAATATCGTTTACTTTAGACTTTAAACATATCAGATATGATAAAGTGAAGGCACCCATACTTTATCCACATGAAATAAACGACGATCAAAAGACAGAGGAATAGGCTTTTGATGGTCACCATGCTCATTCTGTAAAAGGATATCATTATCCACCCACACTATTGCAGAGATTAGGCCGTTTTTGGCAAATGTACCATTTTTGTTGCAAAAAAAAACTTGCATGGTAAGAAATATAGGAGTCGGGAAAATCTTTAAGCTTCTGTTAAAAAACGCTATGGAGCATGGCACGTGATCGCCTATATCACGTGATCCGCACATGGGCAGAATGATTGCAGATGCGCATTAAAACAGGAGAGGACTACTTTGAAACATTTTCAATACTGAAACCCCATATCATTTCTTTTACGGAAGTTATTCAATCAGTTCGCGAACTTTTTGATCACCCCTCGTACAGTTATTTTGTCTACGTCAATTGTAATCTTTTTTAAGGAAATCTCAGCTCAAAACTGATTTACCAGGTAAAAAAGCCTAGGTAAGGCTCGATTACAACATATGTCAACGTGATTTCAAATAAAAGAAATCGAAAGGGAACATTCTTTTTTAATTTGTCCGTTTTTCACACTGTTTTTTTTTTAAGTGATCTTCAGACAAAATTACCTTTGAGAATGCCTAATTCAGATTGCGTTCCGGTTTCAGATAAAAGTCTGTAAATGAATATAAAGCTTTTTCCCATAAATGGACTGTTTGAGTCACGGAAATGAATTACAGACTTCAGAATGAGTGCTTGATAGTTGCATAATATATATTTATTGAACAAATTCTCAGTGTTCTGATAACAAAACGAGAGTGTTCAAAGGAACGCATGTGTCGCCTGCTTCTAGCTTCTTTAAAGATGTAACTAAATCTAAGAGTGTCAGCTATCTATATGCTACTATCATAAACAGTATTTCATGCTAAAAAATCTAGCATGATAGTTCATAAATACACACACACACAAAAAAACACATCCACATAGTATAAGACTGCGATAGAGTTTGTCAATTGAAAAAATATGATTCCCAACCCTCAAATGAATATTAAGTTGAAATCATTTATCAACAGATATTCTTATTTTAGGATTATTATGCCAAACTTCGGCACTTTGAAAAACTTTGGTGAAAACTTTGACACTTTGAAAAACTTTGGCGAAAACTTTTACAATTTGAAAAACTTTGGCGAAAAATTTGACACTTTGAAAAACTTCGGCGAAAACTTTGACACTTTGATTTACTAAAGTTAACTATAGTAAACTATAGTTAACTATAGTTAACTATAGTTTACTATAGTTAACTATAGTAAACTATAGTTAGCTATATATTTTTAAGCGGTTAGCTTCGCTAGCCGCTTTATGGCATGTGTCCGATTTTTATCGACACCGGAAACTTCCATAAGGCGCTACCTATCGACAACGGAAACTTCAACAAAGCCTCTACCTAGTACCTATGATTTGTTTCTAACACATATAACATATGTTAAATAAAATCAAGACTATCAAAACAACATAATCTTTCGGTTTTTTAATGTTTTTCTGATTTTGTTTGTCAATGAAATAAATTTATAATTGTTGTATTAAAAAAGGTTTATGTATAGGAGCATTTGGTACCGAGATTAAATTTCCGTGACGTCAGCTGATGGCGATCGGGCCCTGTGACGAAATTCGAAGTCAGCATGAAGTTTAGCTGATAACATTATCAACGCGTTAGATTAAACTTTAGGAAGAAATGTATAGCGAGAAATATCATATTTGAACCCAATGCTACACGAAAACCAGTAGGCATTTCCGATTTATGTGTTAAATTGAAGCCTGAATCGAACAGGTGGTCAAAATGGCGTTGGACACCTTGTGTATTTATATATAGAGGGGGTAGAATGTTTCGATATTTGGCTAATTTAGAGACTTACTGATAAAAATTCAGGTGCCTGTGATTAATTATAAGGCACCCCTCATGAACAATAAATATTTGACCGATATATGCTACTGGGCAAAGGGAGGACGGGTTAATTACTGGCTAAAGGGGTTGAAGGTTATTACCGACTGCAAAACATCGGAGAATCCCTCGATCGAGTTTCATTTTCCAAAATATTAAGGCATCCCTTTAATTAACTTAAGTAATACTAGTACACGAAGAAAGCCTTTATATAGAAATACTGAATACATCTGTAAGTTGTACAGTTATGGATTACTTCAATAATGAACGTTCGTTTTCTTCTCCTTTTTTTTCTCAATTGAAATTATTTAAAAGATGATAAAAGCTTTGTTTCCAGGGATAAATTCTGTACTCAGTCTAATTATTACAAACTATTTTAAACGATCACATTTTTATTTAAAAAAAAAATAATGGGAGCCTGAAAATACTAAAATTAATTTTAAAAAATTGGCGAAAAAAATTTAATCTGCATTCGATCCTTTTCTAAAAATCAGCCGATATAAAATATGCACAGAAAAAAGAGGCATGAAAAATCTTGACGATAAGCACAAATTGAAAATTATGTCTAATAAATGATTATTTTGAAAGTTTGCTAAATTCCTATGCAAGGTATAAGTTGTAAAAATACTTTTTAAATTTGAATTTGTTCATTATCATTTTGAGCCTTTGAGAAGAAATAAAAATTAAAATACAGATGCTTACAGACATATTGAGAGAAATTACTTGTTTTTAGCAAAAAAAAAACAACAAAAAACAATGTATTGCTTATGCGACATATTGAAGAAAGTGACAATGATACCTAGGTAATTCTTGCAATGGACAATTTAATTGTTTGTTATACACTGACTTTTAGTGAACCTTTGAATT